TTTATTTTTCATTAAAATGGTAAATTTGCAGGAATTAACTACTTTGGTTTTCATGTATAAATCTTTCGTTACCTAATAAGAAATTTATTTAGGTCTTATGAGGATTTTACGGATTGTAAATATATGAAATAATAAAATTTTATCGGATAAATTCTAAAATGACATCTTTGATATGAAATGACTTATTTTGAAAGGTGTTGGATATATCACTTTAAGTAGATAATTATCTTCAAATGTCATTTCTATTGCTGACTGATGGATAGAATGAAAATAAATTCACAGATCCTGGCAGATAGGACAAAATTTTTGTCGGTGTTGATGAAAATTTTGTCCGTAGACCTGTAGTGTCCGTAGACCCATGTTTTATATTCCTAAAGTGTTTTTAGAAAGGTTTATTAATATTCTACACATTTTTATAATTACACATATGTAGTGTTCGTATGACACACAATATCCCCACCTGATTGTGTTTTGGTCGTTTAATAAGACAAAATAATGTTGTCTAAGTAAGATCCCTCTGATAAGCAATGGTTACCACAAAAAATATAAACACGCTAGTTCTAAAAAGAAAAAAAAGGTATCTAGAGGCGAACATTTAGAATTTTGCAATTCCCAGAGATTTATACAATATATTTAGCCCAACAACGGTCTGACTGTACATGAGTTGTCAATATTTACAAGCAAAGAAGAAAAAATCTGGCATTTAGACGAAATTTAACAATTAACAAATAAACATTTTATGACATAAAAAACGACATAAGACAGTACACGGTAAAACACAGGTACACAAATAGGTTGCGCTATTGATCTTTTTTATTTCAAATTTTTAAACTATCAACTTTTGTTGTTTATTTCTTACCTTTATTTTTGTCTTATGCTAATCAGTTTTTGAATTTTAGTTTATGTTTTTGTATGTTCCTTTTGTTAAGGAAAAACTACTTTACCGAAGTTGTAATCTCATACCGCGGTTAAGAAGACACAATTCAATCTAAAAAAAAAAATATTTGGGATGTCAAAATGTCACAATCTGAAAAAGTATACAATCACAGCAGTACATATCGGACGACAGTTCTGGAATCTCAAGACAATATACCGCCTAATTAGGTTTCCCTACTTACATGTTAAACGAATTTTTACACTGAATTTCAGTGATTGTATCGAAATTCAAACGTGACGCTATTTTTCAAATTATTCGGAATCTGATTGCCTATATTGTTTTATTGACGTCAACTTTGACTAGTCACATCATACTTCGTGATCAACTGTTGAGCGAGCACCTTATACTGATCAAACAAATTATATTCTAAAAAAAAATAATGTAATTCTTGAGTACATCTGATATTATTGATTCTGAAAACAAGCGTATTATGAACAGAGATCGATACAATGCATCTTTTAACTAATCAAAATGTATTACTTGTAAGTAAAAAAATCAGGGATTTCGTTACCAAGCGGTCCTTTAAACCTTTACTTAACTTTTCTAAATGCACAGATGTGGTTCGGAAGTTTGACTGTATTTGTCGATGACCTTAACGGGTTTCACTTCAGTCAGTACTTGTATCTCATATATCCCAGTGAACTTGACATTAAGGAAACTACTGATACTAGAAGGACTGCTTTATACCTTGATCTTTTCATTTATATTGACACAGATGGACGACTTCACACTAAAATCTATGACAAACGGGATGATTTCAACTTCCCTATTATCAATTTCCCATTTCTCAGCAGTAACATACCCTCTGCTCCGTCGTATGGTGTTTACATATCTCAATTGATACGTTATGCTCGTGCATGTTCACACTATACGGACTTCATGTACAGGAGTGTGCTCCTTTCACAGAAACTGCTCCAACAGAGTTATGAGGAGGAAAGATTATAAATGACACTCCGTAAATTTTATGGACACCATCATGAATTGGTTGATCTTTACGATGTGTCTGTGTCTTAACTAACTAACGACATTTTTACTTCGTCTTAGATTGTGGTTTAACATCTATGTCGTCTGTCTGCTAAGTACCGAACGTGACCTATTACCGAATATGACTGTTTTGCCGAGTGTGAATTTGCATTGCTATACGATGTGTCTCGGTATTTATACATCCAACATTCATGTATTTAGTTATGATGTTTCTGTTGTGGGTTCGGTTGGATATTATGTTATGTTTTATTGTTTGTGGTTTGAATTCTGTATTTTCGGTCGTTTCACATATGTCTTATTTGTCAGTACAGTCGAGTTAATTTCCATTTTCCGTGGATAAAGTATTGTGTTAGTCCAAATTATTATGACGTCATCACAACATTTATTTAAAACAACTTTTCAATACCGCCATAATCAAGATTATTGTTTGGACTAGTATTGCGAAAATAATTATATGAATTTCAAGATTATATACGCGTCACAAAATTACGTCACTGTTTGTTTTGTCCTGTGCTGTCGTTCATGGAAGATGTTCGTTGTTATTCTGAGGTTTACATGTTTTAACGACTATTATATTATTCATTTGTGCGTTTCTCTGTGCTGAGTGTTCTTGCGTTTGTTTGTGCTGTATGCCTGTCATAAAGTGTTGTCATTTTAGCGATATTTTTTAACATTGCCATATAAGCGGGAGGTTTGGCTAGCCATAAAACCAGGTTCAACCTACCATTTTTTCTTAAAATGTCCTGTAACAAGTCAGGAATATGGCAGTTGTTATCAAATAGTTCGTTGCTATGTATGTTGGCGTTTGTTTTTGTTGCAGTTCAGTATTTCTGTTGTTTTGTTGTTTTCCTCTTATAGTTGATGTGTTTCCCTCGGTTTTAGTTTGTAACCCGGATTTGTTTTCGCTTAATCGATTTATGACTATTGAACAGCGGTATACTACTATAACAGTTGTCTTTATTTATACGGTTCTATTTGTTACGATGATTTTGTTTATAGATCTGGTAAATTTGAAACGAGCTTTGTTGACTTAATCATCTTTTTGAATAGCTTATTCATGAAGGTTATTAATTTGATACCGCAATTAGATTTTTTACATAGTATTTAGTGGTACTTAGATTTGTTTTGTTATTAATAAATTTAAACAGGACAACATTTATGTAATTGATATCACGACTTGTATATGCAATCGACACGTGTTTTGGCATGGCACAAGGTCATGCTTTTATGACGTCTTCAAACTAACAATTAAGATGGGTGTTGCGGAATATTTTTGTTCCGAAGGGTTATGATTGTAGTCTAGGTGTAATTTGCTTTGAACTAGCCTTCAGTTACTATGATTACTTTTAGATCGGTAATTTTTGTCTTTTTATTTGTTTTTGGTGTTTTGTTAAATTAAGACATTTCCATGAGATTATTTCTACAGTTTGTTCCTATTACCTACTGTAACAATACTGTCCCAGGTTAGATGAGGTTTGAATGCTGCTTGCAAGCACGTTTGACCCCGCCACAATATGTATGCGCCTCTTCCAAGTCTGAACCTGTATATGAGTATTTAAAATAAAGCTGAGAATGGAAATGGGGAATGTGTTAAAGAGACAACAACCCGACCAAATAGCAGAAAACAGCAGAAGGCCACCAATGGGTCTTCAACACAATGGGTCTTTTGTCGCTGTCAGCCATATCATGTGTCTTGTATTATTATAGAAAGAGCCGTTGGTTTTCTCCTTTGAAATGTTCACAATTTTTCCCGCCTAGCCTAAATAACTTACTTAAAGTGGTAAACGTGTGATCATTGTTGAAGGCTATACGCTGATCTATAGTTGCTTACCTCATCTGCATTTGGTATTTGTTGGATAATTGTATCATTGGCAATCATGCTACAGCTCCTTAGTGTTATATCATACATCTTTATTTCTAGATGGTGCTAATTTTATGATCAGATATTTATTTATTTTTCAGACGTATTGATAGATTACATATTACACGATAATAAAATTCAACATGTTCAAAGAAATATTATAACATGTTTCTTTTTATATTTAAAGGTTTTACATTATCAGAAGTAGCAATTAGTAGATCTTTACGGCAATCTGAAGGTAAGTCACGAAACATGAACGACAACGCTGACAATTGGAGAGGAAAGTTTGTAAGTGACATTATACCAGATGAATCCGTTGAAATGTGATTTCATCAAATGAATCATCTGTTTTTTCCAAAACAACTAAAACAAACTTTCTAAATTAGGTATGGCTATTATGCATAAGATGCTATTTTCACACTTTCACGTTAGCAATTATGAGAACAACTTGAAATTAATCACATTGGCAACATAATAATGAGGATTGCAACTTTCAACTAGGGGTTTAACGGATCGTGTATTAGACACCTTGTAAATGCATATACATGGCTGTATGTACATGTTCTTGTACTTTCATGAACTGATGAACATTCAGTAATGATATCAAATCATGGTGAAATATGCAAATCAATGGAGAGGATAATTATTTGCATTCATGAACAATATAAAATTGACAATTCGTGATAGACAGAAGAGAAATATTTTATTCAGGTATGGCTATAATAAAGTAAAATATACAAAAACGAAATTACATACATTTATCAGTTTCAGGCGTCATATTCAATAATCCTACCAGAAGTATGTGACCCTGTTTGAGAGTCAAAACAAATTCTTTTTTTAGAAGAGTTATGATTTTAGTCTTTCAAATATATTTTATTCTAAAAATGAATGATATAAGTTCATGGTGCTTCTAATACCATTTATTCTACAAAAAAGTGCTTTTCGAATAAAGGATGATACAATTCATCTTTTGAACTGAAAAAAAAATTATCCGAATCGAGATGGTGAACTTGAAGTAACGTGGTATGAAATTTGTATCATGAGTTTTAAATACTTTTCAATGATTAAATGGTGTTAAAGTTAAAAGCGAAGTATACTTTTAGGATTTTATAAAATATTTAGTTTATGATATACCATATATTCATTCATTCACGTATCAAAAATTGTGTTTTGCATTTACAATTATCAGCAGAAGTCATCTCTAGTTCTTTGCCAAAAATGGGAGGCACGTCATATGGATTCGAACTGGACGGTAAGCTGACAGATCGAGATGAAAAAAGTTCTGATAGACTAGCTAGTCAAGACTTTACGTCTGAAAATCTGTTATCTTCAACTACAGATTCAGCCCATTGCATAACATTTTTGTCATTGAAAGAAAAAACCCTCGCAAATGATCTAGATATAATTGATAGAATTGAAATTGTGAATGATGTCTTGCTTGAACATGGAAAAATAAATAGAGATGAGGTCATTTACATTCGTTCTGAGAGTGATGCAGGCCTTGTCCAGGATAAATGTTTAAAAAACCAATATTATAGTAGTACCTTGGATGATATTAGAAAGGCAGATGTATTTATAGAGAAGCAAACTAAAACAAAGGCAACAAAAGAAAAATGTCCTGTCATACCTAGGGAATCTACTGACGAAATACAGCGAAGAGCCAAACTAGTAGTTACTCCTCTGATAGACCGGTTGGAAACTATAGAAAACAGTTCAGATGAACATATGGTTCCACTAAAGGAATCACCTGTTTCTGCAAGAGAAAAGGGAGAGTTCTCTCGTGCAGGTATGTTTTCATAATGTATATTCACGTCATATGAACAGTTATGATCCCTTATACAGATATTCGAAACATACTTACTTAAAATCTGTACAAATGTTGGTTAAACGTTTAAGCATTCTATGGCGGTAGCAACTGTGGAGCAGGATCTGCTTACCCTTCCGGAGCACCTGAGATTACCCCCAGTTTTTGGTGGGCTTCGTGTTGCTTAGTCTTTTTCTATGTTGTGTCATCTGTACTATTATATGTCTGTTTGTCTTTTTATTTTTGGCCATGGCGTTGTCAGTTTCTTTTCGATCTATAAGTTTGACTGTCCCTCTGGTATCTTTCGTCCCTCTTTTTTAAAAATGTCACAAGTGGGTACACATGAAACATTTAGAAAAGAAAAGATCTTCAGATGTTTTTTACTAAAATATTGATATTAGACATTTATTTTGTATTCAGCCTTTCTATCCTATTGACAAGAAAATTGCGATACGAATGGAGTATTTCTTTCAGACTGGATTCAAATTAATTGTTTGTTTCCAAAATGTTCAAAACAAATACAAAGGAAAAAAGTTTGCTATAAATCATATATTATAACATATAATAAGAAATGTTTCTCTTTCATTCTGTTGATCTGCTTTTTCTAACAAAATTTGATCATACTTAAGTCATGTATATAGATTAAACGTTGTGTTTTTAATTGTAGAAAGTCATTCAAAATCACACATCAAATCTCATGAAATTAGTACTACTACTGAAGTAGTTAAAGATCATGGCATCATTGACAAGTTAAAGAAGATATTTGGTGTTCAAAAAGATGTGACGGAAATAAAGGTGTCCATGACAAAAGACAGATTTTTGAAGGAATCGGTGAAAGCTGGAAAGAAGAAATTACACCAGAAAAAAATAGCTCCAGTTATCATTTGGGATTTTGGAGGCCAAGATGTCTTCTATAGCACCCACCAAACATTTCTTACGTATCGAGCCATTTACTTGATAGTATTAGATGGTAGTAGAACCCTTGATGATCCATGCCCGTTTGAACAATATCTGCCTGGAAAGAGTGGAGGTAAAACTGCACGAGGTAATGATATTGTCGTAAAGAGGTTTTAATGTATATTAATCAGATTGCTGTCAAACAATCTCAGTTTTGAATTTATATAATTGATATTTATCGAAGATAAACATTTTAATTTTGTGATAACACAAAACGAAATTAAAAGATTATCTTTGAGAATATAATGTAGCAACACATACATGCTCATGGTTCATTTGGTTTCTTTTTTCCGGTAGATGTGTCTATGCCTGAAATCAATAGAGACATGTATTTAGCGGTCTAAGATCTTTAGATATTAGAATAGTTATATGATTTGTAACCTAAAATATTGGGTCTATTCACAAATGCGATATGTTGACTAAGTATCAATTTGCACGGCTTGTAATACATACATATCAGTAGATGCTTACCATATCGTCCCCTCATGGTCTCGATTCCTTTGAAGTTGATACTATACACTCAGTTTTTGTTTGTTACCGTAATTTATATCTTTTAAATCGACTTATGAGATTTGAACTTCGGTAAATAACTGTTGTCCAAATTGCATAAAGGAAGTGGAAAAAAAGTTCACTTCCCTTCCACTATTACAAAAATGATAAAGAATTGATTCACAATGGCATTTATTAAAAATACAGGTATCAATTAAGACCATTAGAGCAAACTCCATATCTAGGTTAATATCGAGGGGAAACAAAATAGAGAAATTTTCAAATTGATTATGTTTAATATAATTTGGTTCTCCTTATTTCTGCAGCAATTATATAACAAATTATAGAACAAACAATTGTCGTGGAACCTTTATGTTATGTTATGTGTACATTCTTCTTGACCTTATGCGATCTTACATTACCTTATTACTTTACAAATATATACAATTGGATTGAAAACTAAACTGTTTTTCAAAATATCGGTCTTTAAATGTGTTAGATCATGATTGAGGGTATCGTTATTAATGATTCTTTAACAGTTTATAAGTTACATGAGAAATTGTTTATTTTCCTATAATCAAATTAAAATTAAAAGTAATACACACGTTAGCCTTGTTTAAGACTTCTGTCATTAAGACAGTATTATTATTATATCATTTAAAATGTTTTCTTACCAGGTTTGACATGGTATTATGATGAACAATGCCGTTTTGACCAAGTACAAATTAATTCGTAATGTATATATTAATTTGATATTTGCCATACTCATATAAACTGCTTTTTTAGAACATAATGAATTGTACATAAATACATTTACATCACCATTCTAAACTTTCTAAAGATTTTTGAAGATGGCGATAATGAGTTAGTGTAAAACTTCATTAACATGTGTGCTATTAAAAGTGCTGAGGATATCATTTCACTATTTCTTTCTAGATTACCTTAGATTTTGGATAAATACCATAGTAACATATTGTAAAGGAAGTGGACCAGGATTTCCTAAAATCATGATTGTCTTAACTCATAAGGATAAATTAGAAGCTGTAAGTATGAATTTTTTTGAGTTCATATAGCAACAACAACAAAAGAGGGGTGATATATCAATATTGATAACAAAATGTGGCCACTTCTTTATTTAAGAAATGAATGCTTCTTTTTGTACTTTTATTGCGATGTAGAAGTGTTGACCGAAGCACGTTTTGTATGAAGCGCGGAATTGATGTTAGCCAATCAAACCAACGGATTCTCGTGAAACATAAATGTTATGTAATTGTTGTGTCCTGCAATATCCAAAGACTTTACTTTTTAAATAAATAATGTTCGTTTGAAAAGAATCACAGCTACTTTTTTCTAGCTTTAAATCTTAAAAATAATAATGAATGTACATGATATATCAGAAAAAGAAAACGATGTATTTTGATTTTTACAGCTAATCAGTTTGAGAGTGAATATATCGTAATGAATCAGGTTTTAAAATTATTACTATTATTAGCTATTAAATTTAGAGAATTAACCCAAAACGTTCATCAGAAAGTACGAAGACCTTATAGACAAATATTCAGTGTCTACTTCAAAAATAATACCAGATGATCTTAAAATATAGATTTGAGGTGCTTTAGTTGTGTATCTTGTTATTTACATTTCAAGTTTCCATTTATTTGTCTTTGAACTGTTATGTTTTTTTTTGCTTGTATGCCTGATGGCGTGACTCGGTATTTGTACATCCAGCAATCAGGTTTTTAACTTTGTGCGTTCCTTGTTCAGGTGGGCCCAGATGTGCGATTCGGACGCAAGAGTTTTTTTTTCATGGATTATTTACCAAATTTTGTCATTATAACGGAGCTATTATCTACTGTCATAGAAGTTGCAGGTTTAGGTAGCTATACGAAACCAAGAGTAACCCACCATTTTCTCAGGACAATTTCAGTACCAAGTTAGGAATATTCGAGAAAATTCCTGTACCAGGTCAGAAATATGACAGTAGCTTTCCATTATTCCGTTGATTGTTGTAGTGTAACGTATGATTTTTTTCAGTTTTGATGGACTTCCTCATTTTGGAGATCGGTATCTTTGTAAATACTTTATTATAATCCCGGTTACATTTGGCGCCCAACAAAAAAAACCCATGGTAGTTAGAGAGGGTATCTAGCTAGTGTATGTGTGTAATGGTATGACGACTCTTGAGGTGGGGGGAAGTGTGACGGGATTGCTTCCCTTCATTAGTAGATACTTAGTCAGCCGTAAGCAGTTGAGCTAAGGAAGTAAGGAAGACAAGCGATTTTGTAAAAAGTATCATGCTCTCCGGTTACATTTATTTTTGATGTTGTTATTGTTTCGGTTAGATAATGTGTTATGTCTTATCGTTTGTAGTCCAAATAATTATAAAATTGCCTTTCAATACCATCATTGTCATGAAAATTGTTTGGACTGGTATTGTGAAAATAATTGTATAAAGTTCGAGATTGCATGTTCGTTACGTAAGTGCGTCACTGTTTGTGATATCCTGTGGTGTTTGTCGTTGATGGAAGATGTTCGTTGTTGTTCTGCGGTTTGCATGTTGTCTCGACTATTATATTATTTGTTTGTTTCTCTGTGATGAGTGTTCTTGCTTATGTTTGTGCTGTATTTCTGTCAATTAGTGTTGTCATTTCAGCGATATTTTTTAACATTGTCATATAAGCGGGAGGTTTGGCTAGCCATAAAACCAGGTTTAACCCACCATTTTTTTCTTAAAATGTCCTGTACTAAGTCAGAAATATGGCAGTTGTTATCAAATAGTTCGTTTCTATGTATGTTGGCGTTTTTTTTTTGTTGCACTTCAGTGTTCCTGTTGTTCCTTTGTTTTCCTCTTATAGTTGATGTGTTTCCCTCGGTTTTAGTTTGTAACCCGGATTTGTTTTCTCTCAATCGATTTATGACTTTTGAACACCGGTATACTACTGTTGCCTTTATTTATGCAATTCAGTAAGCTTATTCTCCTTCCAAGAAACGCTACGTCTTCTTGAAGCTAACTAAATAGCAATGAACTGGGCTAAAACATACGTTAGTTGTACTAATTGCTTAATGTGTCGTTGTATATGAATTGTTGATTATATTCAGAAAATACGGAATAGGAGTCCGTGGCAAAACCCCTAAAGCATCATATATAATCAAACTGACGTGTTTAAGACAAATGTATTTGTCGACTCGAAGAGACCAATCAGAGACTACAGACACAATTATGTCTTAGTATGCCAAACGCGTATTTGGTCTACATCGGACTCATCAGTTGCGATCACATGAAAGAAGAATAGAAAAAAAAAACAAGTAAGAAGTTAATGAACATAAACAATTAAAAAAATCCCAAAAAGATGCCAAATACGGCTACGGGTAGACCATTCTTACCTGATGGAATAATCCAAATTGTTGTAAGCAATTGATAATACAAATGACCGTCAATATCATGTCATGGTGCTGATTTCAAGGCTGGTGATACATTCGGGGATGACATTTCAAGACGTGCGTTTTTCCTGCATGAGACTATTTAGTGACGCTGGAATCAAATTAGTTGTAACAGTTCCTCAACAAATAAGTACTTCATTTCGTCAAAACTTAAGTGGAGATATTACAAAATAAATAACTGAAAATCAAAGAAAGAAAAAGATATTTTATGTGAAATTATATGATCTGTGACAGCCTTTGATTTGTGAGATCATGCGAAAACCTTTAAGTTTCTTCTAACACTTTTTAGAATTGTTTATGCTTAACCAATATTTGTTCCTGGTTAATCTATAACGCTTTACTTCAAAATCATTTGATCATACAACACTAGTTCTTTGTCACCACATGTAGACCAAAATCTCATTTAACTCTTATTTTTTGTGGCCATTTCCTGTTCCTCAATCAAATTATTTCGGTATTCCTTGGTTTATCACACCAACAATTGTTAAGTTTGTCTTTAAACTCATTTGTTTAGAAGTCTATTTACAGGAAACGTGCACTGATAGGTATTCACTATTCTTAACCAATATGTTAAATTCATTAATAAAATCTATGACTAGATGAAGCAGCGTGAGCCAAAAAATAATGCAAAACAATTCAAAACCTCTTTCCTGGTATCTTCAAAATTAAGTCACCCTCCTGGAACTAAAGAACAACACAGACGGAAAGCTTCAATAAACATCATTGAGGAAAATATTAAAATTTGGCCATGTGTCAAATAATACCTTTTTTTATTTTAAATATATTCTACAGGTATGAGTTTACTTTGACATAATTGTTTCCCTATAACACGTTTTGATGAAAAGGATCGGCATTGCAGAGATGACACGCTGTCATTTTAGCTTTTGAAAACGGATAAGGATACATGTATTTACATTCGATCTACTTTAAAGTTTTCACAATTCTGCACTTGAAAGTTGTATCAAGAAGAAAAATCGTATAACTTACAAATACGCATCACTTAACATTCGTTTTAGCCTTAAAAAAAATTTAAATTATTGTCTGATTGTTTTCCGGGCGAATTTGTATTAGTCAATAACAACTATAAAAGAATTATATTAGAATATTTCGCGAGTTATAGTTGAGAACCAGATAACATACACACAATTTTAAAAGTTTTGTGCGATTGTTCATTTTAAAGATCCGTAAGTAAAGTCAGGTTTTGGAAGACATTTAAAGGGTGTCAATGAACAAAGATACAAATTAAGGCTTTAGAAATCAATCTATTATCTTTCAATGGATTTCTTTTGTTTAAATTCAACTTGATATCCACCGGTCTTTTTTAACACGGGTTAAAAATGTTGATTTGCCTTTGTCTAAGCATATTAAAAAAAATCTACATACACTGCTCTTGACGATTGTTAAGGCCAAGAAAATATATTTGATGCTTGATTAGTAAATAAGAATTTGAATATATATATATACAAATTTTTGCACCTTATGTTTGCGGTATACCATCTTTTCCGCAAGTTTATTGTTTTCTGTTTGGTATATTATTAATAAATTAAGATCCATTTTTACATCTGGTGATCTGTTTATTTGGCAATCGCCATGGCAGTCAGCAGGGTTTACGAACATCCGTTGTTCGACCTGCTAGTCAAATGCGTTTTATAATATACTTAAAATATACTTTTTCACTTTTTTGGTCTTTTGGAAAATGTTGTTTGTGCTGTATTTAGACCACTCTACCAAGAAATTTGTTTTGCATGCACACGTATAAAAATTGCGGTTTTTATCCAACGCAATCATAGGTTTGAACGTTGTTTTCAACTTAGACTTGTATATATATATACAACTCGTCTAAACATCAGCCCAACAATGTTAGATCTGTAAATTTGCTTTCGCAAATTTTTTGTTCTTCCCTCGCCGGGATTCGAACTCATGCATATACGATTCGTCTAAATAACAGCCCAACAATGTTAGATCTGTAAATTTGCGGGAGCAAATTTTTTTTCTTCCCTGGCCGGGATTCGAACTCATGCTATTGAGATATCGTGGCACCAATATATTTGGTGCCACGATATCTCAGTAGCATGAGTTCGAATCCCGGCCACGATATCTTAGTAGCATGAGTTCGAATCCCGGCCACGATATCTCAGTAGCATGAGTTCGAATCCCGGCCAGGGAAGAACAAATATTTGCTTACGAAAATTTACAGATCTAACATTGTTGGGCTGTTATTTAGATGAATTATATATACAGAATGTGTTTCCAGCCTTGTATCACCATTACTGGTGATCCGATGGATAAAATCTGTCATAGAGTTGTCATTGTTTCAGAAGTACTTATATATATACATACGATATATACTTCATGGAAACAGTTTTGTTTTATCTATGTATATGACTGAATTAAAACGAGGAATATTGCCTCATTGATATATACCGGAACACCCCAACCCATTAAAACATATTTTTATTTAATTTTTATAGTGATTTTTAGACGCAATGCCCTCGCGTGAAGTTAGAGTGGTCACATATTAAAACAAAGTAAACAGCTCATTATAATTATTCCGATACGAAGAAAAAGACAACGGTTGTATTTACAATATGAGTTGTGAGTGAAAGAAATTGTTTAACGCATTCCTTGAACCTACTAAACATAAAAAGATGAATAACATTAGAATGTCAATTGGAACTATTTGAGTTAAAAAAAATGGAGAAATTAAATTCTTCCCCAACACAAATTAACATAGAACAAAAAACTGGTAAAGAAATGTTGTATCGATTTATTTAAAAAATGCAAATTAACAAAACTCAAGACTGTTTGTTTACAGAAAGAAATTGAACCAAGACGACAGCAAATGTTTCATGATATAGAGAAGATGTTTATTGGAAGTCCATTGCAGTCTCATTTAGTCATTAAAGAGCAAATTTTTGTAAATGCAAAAAGCAAACGTGATCCGGAAATGGCGCAAATCAAAAAGATCATAACTGAGCAAGCCATGAAGCAACCGACATGGGGTCAGAATCTTCCCAAATGCTTTATTCCTCTTGAATGGGAATTTGATTCACTTCTAAGTCGTAACATTCCTTTGATAACAATGAAGCAAATGGAAAAGATGAATTCC